TATGTTTACTACACTCTACACAGCATGCAGAACACATTATTGTCAAGTTAACATAGTTTAATTATCTTTAAGGTAGATGATATTTTGACCATTAAACAAACATTCACAAATTTAAAGGAATAAAAGTCATACAAAATGTATTCTTAGAGTGTGGTGGAATTCAACTATTAATCACTAAACAATATATCTGGAAAATTCTCAAATTATGGAAAGTCAGTGGCACACTTATAAATAACCAATGGGTCATAGAGAAAGTGTCAAGTTAAATTAAACTTATTTTAAACATAATAAAAATTAATATAATACATATCAAATTTTGCTGGATGCACCAAAAATTTGCCTAGAGGGAAATTCATAATATTAATGTGGATATTAGAAAACAATAATGATCTCACATGAGTGGCCTGAAATATTGCTTGCAGAATTCAAAGGAAGAATAATAATTTAAATCCAAAGCAAACTGAGGAAAAGAACTAACAACAATGAGGGCAGAAATTAATGAAATTAAAATTTACAGATAGAGAGAGAAAGACAGAGAAAATCAATGAAATTGAAAGCCTATTTTTTGAAAAGATCAGCTAAGTATTAATGAGAACAAAGAAAGAGGGTGATGATTACCAATAGCAGAATTACAAGAGAAATTGTCAATACACTCTACCATTATTATAAGGATAATAAAGTAATACTACTACAAAAAAATTCTACACACACAAATTTGATAACTGAGATTTAAAAACTCCTGGATAGACTCAAGACATACAACCAAACCTCACTGAAGATCCAATAGATAACTTGAATAGATCTATATCAATTAAGATATTGAATTTGTAAATCAAATATTCCCCCAAAACCTAGCCATCAATTGTTTTGGTGAATTCAACAAATATTGAAACTCAAGAAAATACTAACTGTACCCAATTTTTTTTTCAGAAGAACAGAAGGAAACACTTTCCAACTCATTTTACAAGGCCAGCATTACACTTATACCAAAACCAAAAAATGGTATTATAAGAAAAGATAACCTTAGACTAATATCAGTCATGAACAAAGATGAGAAAACAATTTTTTTAATTACCACATGATATTGAACTAATCTATACATCTATCTATCTATCTGGGGTGATACATTATGAATAAGAAAAACAAGGCTCATTCACTATTCAAAATTCAAAGTGACTTTACTGTAGAAATCCTATTTTAAAAATCTCAATAGTTCATAAAAAGCATGAAATAAAATACAACATTCATTTCTTGTAAAAACTGTTAGCAAATTAGGAATAAAAGAGACTTTTCTTAACCAAATAAAGGATGTGTTTTTTAATCTACATACTTAATGGTGAGGGTTGAATATTTTCTTTCCTAAGAATTGGAACAAGTCACTCCTATTTAGTATTGTATTAGAAGACTTGCACAGTGCCATAGGACAGAAATATGAAATAAAAGCATGCATATTAGAAAGGAAGAAATGCAACTGACTCTATTTGTGATTAAACTGAATGATTTTTATCAAAAACTTACAGTATCCAGAAAAAGCCTCTGTAACAAGTGATTAAAATTAGGAATGTTTTAATATCTAAGGCCAATACACAATTACAGCATATATTATGTACAATTATACAATAATGTATCATAAATGAACAGTTAAACAATTTTTAAATTAAATTACTATTTAAAATGAAAGCAAATAGTCAAATAGTTAGGAATAATTCTAAAAAAGAAGTGCTGGATCTGTATGCTAGAAACTCCAAAACATGGATTAAAGAAATAAGAGAGGATTTAAGTAAAAAAGAGAGAGGCATGACATACCTATGGATTCTGAGTCTTAATATTGCTAAGAAGATAGCACTCCCCATTTCTATTTGTAGATTCGCTGTACTGCAGATGAACATCCTAGCAGACTTCTTTTGTAGATTATCATCAAGCTAATTCTAAAATATATAAAGGCAAAAGTACTAGAAGAGCCAAAACTCTTCTGAAATAGAACAAAGTTAGAGGACTCACACTACTTGATCACAAGCCTTGCTATTAAGCTACAGTCTTCAGGACAGTGTGGTTTTGGTGGAAGGCTAGACTCATAGACCAATGGAGTCCAAAGAGATTCAAGAAACAGACTCACAGAAATATATTCAACTGGGTTTTGACAAAGGTGAAAAGACAACTCCAAAAGAAAGAACAATCTCTTCAATAAGACACACTGTACTAATATGATCTTCCCTCACAGGAAAATGAACCTTGATACATATTTCACAACTTTAACAAAAATGGACTCAAAATAGACTAAAGTATAAAATCTAAAACTATAAAAGACTATAATATATTATAGGGGGAAATAGACATGACTTTAGGTTTGTTGGTGAGGTTGTTTTTAGCTAAAACACCAAAAGCATGAACCATAAAAAATATATTGAAAAAGTAGATTTTATCAAATTTAAAAATGTTCACTCTGTAAAAGACACTGTTAAGAAAACAAAAAGCTAAGACAAACTGGGAAAATATGAGCGAGTCACAGGTGTTATAAAGACTTTTAATCAGAATATATTTTTAAAAATTCTTAAAATTCAAAAATATGAAACAATCTACATTAAAATTAGCAAAAGTTGTGAGTGTATATATACATATATATATATATATATATATATATATATATAAAATAGATAAATGGGAATTAAACAAATAAGAAATGAAAGTATGGAAATAAACATTCCCACCATAGGGTGGGCATGCGGGTCAACTGCAGGGACAGGAGGACACTGCCTGGGGCAATGCACATGTTTTAGGTCTTGGCAGAGTGGTAACACTAGTTATGCATTTGCTAAAATTCCTCAGTGTGCACACATAACATGAGACATTTTATTGTATATAAATTATACCTAATACAAGGTGATTTTTTAAAAAATACAGGTGAGTTTCCCAAACAGTGCACAGAGGAGCAGGTCTGGCAGCCTGGCTCTCAGAGAGGGGAAGTGAGAGTGGCCAGTGTGCTCATCCCTGTGGGCACCCTTCACTGCCCCGCACTGCCTGTTGGGGGTCTCCCTGCCCCCTGCTAGCCCAGCCCACCCACAATGTACTGTGAGGGTCCAAGACACAGCTTCCCTCATCCAGAAAAGGTACACCCAGCCCCACCTCAGGGCCTTTGCACTGGCTGTGCCCTCTGCCTGGAGCTCTGATATCCCGGTCCAGGCAGGAATCTTGTCCTTCCAGGTCTCATAGAGACTTCCCTGACTGACCAGTGTCCAGTGGCACCAACTGTCTCTGTCTGCCTCCTATTTCACTTCCAACAGAGCATCTATAACTCCCTGATCTTAATTATTACTCACTGCCCCCCCCATTGCCCCCCACCCTATACTCTAAAGTGGGGCTGAGCAATACCACAGCCGCCAGCCACATGTGGCCATGGGGTGCTGGAAATGGCGCTAGTCCAAATGGACACATGCTCCAAGTGTAAATGATATACATGAAATTCCAAAGACATAGTGTAGACACCCAACACCCAGAAGAACATAAATTATCTTTTTTTTTTTTGAAGTGTGATTCAGGAGGCTTCATCTATATTCAATTGATTGACTAGTGGGTAGAGAAAAATGAAGGATATGCCAATCATATATGTTATGATACAGAATTAAAGAAGTCTAGAATGTTTTTATTTCAGCATATTATGGGGGTGCAATTGTTTAGGTTATAAACATTGCCCCACTCGGTTCAGAGTTTCAAGCGTGTCCATCTCCCAGATGGTGCTCATCGTACTCATTACCTGTGCATATACCCATCCGCTCCTTCCCACCCCGCCTGCCCTACACCCAGTGAATGTTACTACTATATGTGCAAGTGTTGATCACTCAAAACCAATTCGATGGTGAGTACATGTGGTGCTTATGTTTCCTTTCTTGGGATACTTCACTTAGTAGAATGGGCTCCAGCTGTATACAGTTTAATACAAGATGTGCTAGACTGCCATTGGTTTATCGTGGCTGAATAGAACTCCATGCTATACCTATACCACATTTTATGAATCCACTCATGCACTTATGAGCACTTGGGTTCTTTCATATTTTTGTAATTGTGAATTGTGCTGCTATAAACATTCTCAACATCTGTAATCATCAGGGAAATGCAAATCAAAACCACTATGAGATATCACTTATCTCCAGTGAGAATGGTGTTTATCAAAAAGTCCCAAAACAATAAATGTTGGCATGGATGCAGAGAGATAGGAACACTCCTACACTGCTGGTGGGACTGAAAACTACAGCAACCTCTGTGGAAAGCAATATGCAGATCCCTCAAAGAGATACAAGTAGAACTACCATTTGATCCAGCAATCCCATGACTGGGCATCTACCCAAAAGAAGATATCTGCACTCGAATGTTTATAGTAAATTATCTTATTAACAATTGTTCCTGGAATTTGATATAACATTTTAGATATCTTGGGCTAAACAACAATATTATCTAAAGTACTGTCACCTGTTTACTTTTACTTTTTGAATGTCTCACCTAGAGAATTAAAAATTGCTCCTGCTGCGTGTTACATGTCCATTGGGTGGCAGCTCTGCAGTGTCAAGTCCAAGCCCTAGAACCCTGGCCTGGGGAGAAGGTAGAAAAAGTCTTGTTTATTGAATGATGTTGAGCTTGAGAGGAGAACCCTGAGGTGAATTTCCTCATGCTCGGTAAACAAGTTCAGAACAGGATGTGGGCTGGGTTTTCCAGGCTCCTTTGAAGTCACACTTTGCCCTGAGGACTCCACACCTTGACCAAGTGCTCAGAGGTGACCCTGACCTGGAACAACTTCAGGAGGCCAAGATGTCTCTTTGACCCTTTTCTTGGGGAAACAGTGAAGAGGTCATGTTGCTTCCACTGTGACCTCTCTGGAGACAGAGCGACACTAGCTTGGGAGCACTGGGGAGGAGGGGCAGGAGTGAGGGCAGAAGCAGGAAGGAAGGAAGATGAAGGAGGAAGAGGAGGAGCCAGCCAGGTGGAAGATGGGGGGGGGGCCCTAGCAGGGTAAAAGCGCTGCAGCCTGCAGGAGGGGGCTGAGGGCTCAGAATCACACCGTCGGCCCCTCTGCAGCTCCAGCTTCTCACTGTGCATCTGAGCAGACCATGGCCAGGCCCCTGCGTGCCCCTCTGCTCCTGCTGGCCAGCCTGGCCGTGACCCTGGCTGTGACCCTGGCCATGACCCTGGCCAGGAGCTCCAAACCGGTGGGTGGCATCAAGGGAGCAGATGTCAATGATGAGGGCGTGCAGCGGGAGCTGGACTTTGCCACCAGCAAATACAACGAAGAGAGCAATGACTCACACTACAACCAAGTGCAGCAGATAGTGAGTACCGTCCAGCAGGTGCGTGCTGCCCCCTCCCCACGGGGTCCTGAGTCCTGTCTGGGTTTGCCCCACAGAGAGCATTACCAGCAAATCAGCACTGACACATTCAATTATCTCATGCTCAGGCCTATTTAGATTTCCTTGCCTGTCCCACTGATGGCCTTTATACCCGAAGAGATGCCCAGGCTCTCCTCATAGCCCCTGTCCTGTCTCCTCAAACTCCTCTAACCTGCAGCCGCGGTCATGGTCATGTTTTATCAGCGAGTCTGTTTGCTGTCTTTGGCATTTTTCTAGTGTGTCCAGCCATTTGTGGGATAGAGATGGTTGCAGAACCTGCTGCCCCCTCAAGGTTAGGTTTGGGTCATAATGTGCCCACAGAGGAGGCATGTCCTCTTTCCTGAGCCTCGGCAGGTGTCACTTGGAGATCCTGGCCTCCTAGTCCAGAAGTTACACTCTTCCCTCCAAAAGTCACAGACTTGGGAGCAGCCCCCAGGGTGAGCGTCCTTTACCCTGAGCCCGGCAGACCACCCCCCACAGCCACGGGCAGCTGAACACCTGCTGGGGTGCAGACGACCATGCCCGAACCCCGCCTCTGCCAGCCGCAGCCTGGCGCAGCTAGACTCTGGCAGAGGGGGAGGCAGTCAGCGTGGAGAGGGGTCAGGAGGGGGCGGCAGGAAGGGCTGCTGGTGCCGAGCTTGCCCTGCGCCCATTGCACAGCTGCCCAGAGTGACAGAGCAGCACAGGGTGGCATGGCACGCCAGCGTGTAGAGCTCTTCCCACCTGCTCTCAAAATTCAATGAGCCCCAACAGCTCCAGTTCTCCTCCTCACCCTCAGCCACTGCCCTCTCCCTGGAACATGAGGTGGACCCCCTGGTGCTGTGGTCTCTGCTGGCCTGCGCCTCTCCAAGGTGGCTCTAACTTGGAGTGACGCACAGGATCCTGTAGATCATTGGTCCTCGGAGCCCATTTGACAGATGCACAGACTGATACCAGAGGAATCATGGATCCACAGGGCAAGGTCTAGAGCCCTGATCCCAGAGCGCATCATCCCATGCTGCTCCACAGTTCTGACAAGGCGTGTCTGGGGGAGGCCCTGTGCAGAGAGAGGGGTCAGTTTTATTCTGTTATTAAACTGTAAGATAGGCAGGTGTGGGACCCACTTGAGAAATATTGCCAGTAAATATCACCTAAAACAGGGCCATTTAAGAGCAGTCTCTTATTGGCCTAAATCTTCTGTGTATGAGAAGCATCTCATTTCCGACTGACAAAGGAGGGAGGGAATATATAAATCTGGGGAAAACGGAGAGAGTGGGATTCTGCCGGGCTGTGCGCTGGTGGCTGGAAGTCAGCTGAGACTGAATCCTAGGAACAGCCCTCCTAGAATGGATCAGCGCTCCCTGCCCCTGGGCCACAGTTGCAGGATGTGATGAATCCTTGCTGCTACACGGAGCCTTCACTTGTGCTTAGACCACGCCTGTGCTCCTGGTGCAGGGACTGGGTATTGGCCCACCCGGGCTGGCTGCCCAGACCTGTGCCTGCCATTCCTGAATGCAGTGAGGGCTTAGTCCCTGCTGCCACCTTCCACTGTCCTGCTGCATGCGACACCTTGTAGGTGTTGTTCACAGAAAGTGAATTGCAAGGGAGCACCTGTAGCCCAGCTCTGGTAATATACAGGAGAGGGGAAGTATGTGCCCTGGAAGTGACAGTGTGGCAGCTCACAAATGCAGGCATGAAGCCCCTGGGAACAGGCAGTAACTCAGCAACAGTGAACTATCTGTGTGCGTGTGAAATTGATGGCAGTGCTGTAGGTGAATCCTGCTCTTGCACATGTGTAGGTCCTGTTTAGGTTGCTGTACTCCTTGTACATGGAGCTCAGCCAGACCACATGTAACAAGTCCCAGGCCAACTTGGACAACTGTCGCTTCCAAGAGCAGCCGAATCTGAAGTAGGTATGTGTCTGATGTGAGTCACAGGCAGGTAATGCACTGCAGAGGGGGATATGTGTGTTCCTGTGATCCTGCTCTGTTCAGGAGGGTGTGTGTGTACACACGGAGGTGTGTGTGTGCATGAGTGTTTGCAAGCACAAAGAGTGTGGGGACATGCACGCATGCCCATGTTCACATAAAGAGGTGAGGGGAGGTGCATGGGAGTGCGGGTGGGAGAGAGTGAGGGTTCATGCATAGATGCCTGTGGGTGAAGGGTGCATGTGAGTTTACATACATGAATTCCTGTGTGCATATGGGGAGGATGGGAGGGTGGGTGGGCATGGCTAATTTGAATTGCAAAAAGGGCCTTAGTTGGGAATGGGGTACTGAGAGCAAAACCCTGCCTGTTCTGGGGTGTTCCCTGCAGTGCTGGAGGAATCAGCCTCAGAGCTGGGTGCTTGGGAGAGAGAAGGGCTTTGTTCAGTGCCAGTCTCGGCCACCTGCCCACAGCCACGGCCGTGGTGAGCAGATCAGAAGGGATTAGAGGCCTCTAAGTGGCCCAAGCCCTCCGAGGCTGCCCCTGCTCGCCCAACACCTGCCGGTCCAAGGCCCCAGCTGCTTCTTATGAGGTCTCTGCTCTGGGGAGAGCCACACTCCCCTTGTCACCCACTCCCCATGCTCCAGCTCTTTCAGGGCAGTTCCCCTCCCCATGGTCTTTTCCCTGGGCCCTCTCAGTAATGGCTCAGGGGCTGGAGATGGATGGCGCTAGGGGACAGCAAGCTGCCTCTTCCGCATGCACCCTCTGGGGTCCAGTGGCTGTGCACAGGCTGCTCCTTCCAGGGCTGTGCTGGGGCAGGCTGGTAGGGGGTCCTGTGGCTGGATGGGGGACACAGTGCCAGCTGATGCTTTTGGAGCCCTAGGAGGGCCATGGAACAGTGACTGCACAATCGGGCTGGGTGTCCTGGGCCTCTGAGGGGAATGGTGGGGGCTGGGGGTCTCACCCTCAAATTTCCGTGCCCCCACCCTGACATCCCATGGCTGGACATCTTCCCTTGTCACCTGCACTGATTATCCCTCTCCCTTCCCTTTGACAGGAAAAGCTGTACTCTTTGTAGATCTACAGTATTCCCTGGGAGATTTCAATGAACTTGGTGAAATCCAGCTGTCGGAAGGCCTAGGAGTCTGTGCCAGGCTGGGCTGCACCCACCCATCTTCCCCATACCTCTCACCTCCCTGTACTGCTCCCCACCCTGGGACGGAGGCCCCGCCCTGGTGCAGGTCTCCTCCCCGCATCAGCACCCGGAGGGAGGCAGGTAGACAAGGCTTCGGGAGGCCTTGACCAGCCAAGTGGCTCTACCTGTTCCTTTCTCCCTACTGCTTCTCAGACTCGCTGGTACACCAAGCTCTGCTCCTGCCTCCTTTAATAAAAGAGTAGCATTGGCTCCGTCTTGAGTTTTTCCTATCTTGGGGATGTGCACATGAGGAGGGGGGGGGGTTGAGACCAGCGTGGTGGCTCAGCCTGTAACCCCAGTGCTTTGGGAGGCTGAGGTGGGAGGCTCACTTGAGCCCAAGAGATTGAGGTTACAGTGATCTGTGATCGTGCCACTGGTCCCCATCCAGCCAGGGTGACACAGCAAGATCGTATGTCAAAGGAAAAGAAAAACACTGAAGGCTTTCAGCAGCCCCTTTGTGAAGGGCTCCTTGTCCTGCTGGGTCTAGACAGCAAATCTGCACCTGAGAGCTGAGAAGCCCATCAGGGGACTGAGCGGCCACTTTGGGCACATCTGAGTCTCAGAGCAGGGACAAGAGCATGAGGGCTGGAGCCCGGGTGCTCAGCTACAGCGGCTCCTGGTGAAGGGCCCGTGGAGCAGGTGCCGGCTGCTGGCCCTGTCCCTGCACTGCTGCCCTAATCGATGCCAGGCAGGGGGGAGGCCTCAGCGGGGCCGGCCAGGCAGTAGATGCCACCCCAGTCTACAGAGTTGGTCACACTCCAGGGACTGACTTTCTCTCATCAAATTCCCTAGAGCCTAATAAATAATGATTTATGTCCACTGCATTCCCCCTAATTATTTAGGTCCCTACATGAAAATAAAGACTAAAAGTGTCTGTGTGTCTCTGTGTCTGTGTCACTGGTTGGGGGAAACACCAACCAGAACTAAAGATGGGAGAAATCCTAGAGTAAAGGCCATACCTGCCCTGGTCCATCCCGGAGTGATGCCCTGCACTGGGAGGTCGTGCCCTACACTGGGAGGTCGTACCCTACACTGGGAGATCGTGCCCTATGCTGGGAGTTTGTGCCCTAGCAGGTTTTACAGTTACACCCACGAGCCCTTCGGCTGGACTTTGCTTGAAAGCAAGTCCTCACATCAAGCTTCACCTTAGGGATGGAGAAGTTGAGACACAAATGGGACTGACATGCCGTGGGCTCTTCTTTTTCCAAGAAGTACACTTTAGTTCACAAAGACCACCACCTGGGAGTCAGCATAATGCCTTGGTACACTGAGTATTTCCCAGCCCTGAACAGGAGGTGACAGTCCTTAGAGGCACACTGGGCCCACCCCACAGTGTCCTTCCATTGGCTGTTTCAGAACAGCGGGGTGCAGCCCTCAGGGCTGGCTGGGGCAGGTTTGCAAATACCTTCCATGCTCACAGTCACAGAGACCAGGTGTCTTGTGGGCACTGCTGTGAACACGGAAGGGAAATGACAAGGGGAGTCCACCAAACAGCCCCAGGCTGGCCCCTCACCTGCTGCACCAGCAAGGCCAGCGCTGGGAAGGCCGGGGAGGGCAAGGGGAACAGGCGCTCCCACGCCGTGTCCACCTTGCATGCAGAGCCTCAGCCCTGCCTTTAGTAACAAGTCTCTGGGGGAGGGAAGAGAAGCACCGCCCAGAGGCCTGAGCAGGGGACGTCTGAGTCTGGGCGTGACCCTAGGCAGGTGTGGGGTGCAGGGGGCCTCATGGACTTAGTAATCCAGACTCCATGGGGAGGAGGGAACCCAGGGAGAGCAGCCGGTGCTCAGAAGCCCAGGGGAGGGGGGTCAGGGGTCAAGACCCCCTGCAGGGAGGGTTTCAAGGTTTGCCTCAGTTTGACACAAGCAACTACCATGCAGACACAGTGATTTCCTCTCACTTGTCCCTTTACTGATAAAACTTTCCGTCTTTGGACAAGTGGGGATGTGCTGGGGGCTGTGCACAAGGCTCGCCCACCTTCTCCCTGAGTGTCTGCGCCCCAGGTGGGCAGCAGTGGGGAGCCTGAGCATGAGCAGGTTCATCTCCTGGCCAAGCCAAGGGCACTGGCTGTGTCCTGAATCTATGGGGGATGTGGAGTCGTGTTAAGGAAGATCATGATGAGGTCAAGCTTTGAAAATACTATGCCCCTTTAAGAGTTCCTATAGTGAAAATCATGTCACAAATCAGTGGCAAAAGATGGAACCTGCAGAGGTTAGACACCTCCTCACTTCAGCACAGATGAATCAGTGGTGGAGGAGGGATGAGTCCATGGGAGGATGAAGAAGTCAGCCAGTGTGGTCTTTCCAGGGCGGGTGACACTCACCCAAGGACCCAGGTGGACCCAGGTGCTGTGGGGCCTGAGGCTTATATGATTTAGGGGACTCCATGGATGAAAACTAGCAGTACTACTGACTATTACTACTCACAGTGTTACCAACAGAAAACTAAGCACAAAAGTTAATGTCTATTTAGGAAGAGAAAATCAATCACAGCCAATTACATGTTTTAAAATGCTGATAAATACTACAACCATCACAAAATCCAGAAAAATAACATTTCTTCCAGCATAATCAGGCTACCTCAACTAAGTCTATCACCAACGGACTGGGGTTCTCTGGTTTGTTGCAATAACACAATACTCACACCACGGGACCTGGAGCTACTGACCAAGGAGAAGGAGGGTCATCACAGGATTAGTAAGAGACTCTGAAGCAGGATTTTGGTGGACTCACAGCACCCCAGGGCTGAGTGTAAAGGAGCTAGTTCCAGTTTGGACGGCAAAGGGGACCTGGGGGCTATGTCCCTAGAAAACATAAAGTTGAGCCAGTTGTGAAACCCTCTGTCCAGAAGCCCCTTCTCTGAGGTTCTGCGTCTCTGTGTAAGGATGGACCTAGGTCCCCCAGGCAGTGGGGTGTTCACTTACTGATAGAAAATTTTCTGATAACCCCGATTCTAGCGAAGAACATCTTTCATTGAGTAATAAAGTGATAGTTGGCAAAAGAAGAGGCTAATGGAGATTTCAAAGATGCAGCTTGGGAGAAATCTTGCTTTTCTGTTCATGATACAACTGCTCTGTTCTCATTCATCTATTCCTCCCTCCTAGGGATGGAAGGGCAGGGTTTTCCTCCCCCGGTCCATGATATCTTTATTTACTCACATAAAATTTTAATTAATGAACTATTGACACAACTCTGTAATAATTTCTTCCTGTATTTTCATAGTTGTATAATGAATCACTATTTGCCTCATCATAGCACAGTGATATTACAAAATCATTTGTATAAATATAATATAGAAATAAATCAGTCTTTTCACTCACCACTTTCAACACTTTTGTTAAATTGATGGTGTATAACATTGTCTTTCTGCCTCAAAACTCATAATTGATCTTATCATCCAAATTTTTCAGATTATCAAACTTGAAGAAGCTTCTGACAGTTTCCTTTCATATATGAGCATACATTATAGTACTTCCTAGGTTTTCTTGGCTTAAGATCAATGATCTTAAACACTATTCAGCTGACAATGCTCACTTAGCACATCATGTATTTTTCAATCTTCCCTGCAATGTTTCATCTTGTAATGTTTGGAGCTGCCAGACTTCATTGGAAAAAGAAGACATGAGAAGACAGATCCCACAAGTTAAAAAGTTCTAGCTCATCCAATTCTCATGAAAATAAAAATAAATGCCTGGTCTGCTAATCATTGCACATACCATATTAGCGAGTATATTTCTAATAGGACAAAACTTCCCTGTTTGCCTAGGAGTCAAAAAAAAAAAAAAAAAGCCAAACACTCAACTCATAATTTTTGATGTTATGGTGGGAATAATTAATTTTCCACAGACTAGCTTCTCACTCCATGCATTGCAAGCCTGTTTACTCTCTCCGCATCACAAAGGTCCAATATGAGGTGCCACAGGACACATCCTGATCAAGATGCAACCTCTGTCCCTGATGCTTGGTTGATGACAGAGCTTGGAGGAAAATCAAATTCCCTGACCTGAGGGTCAGAGCTCTGATGGCAATACACAGGCACCACCCCTGCTCCCAGACATTTCCCTTTGCCTGGGCATGTTGTGAAGCCCCTGTGTGATTGCAGGAGTGCAGAAGTATGTGTGCACTGGCCCCTGCACAAGCCCAAGTGCTCTGATAAACTTGGATTTCACCAGGGACTGAATTGGACCCACCTGACCTCAGGACTCTAATTAGCTGCACTCTGAGACATGGTGGCCCTCAGATTGTGTGGTCCCTTTGCTGCCTCTGTGTCCTTTACAGTAGAATGATTAGCCACAGAGCCTCACACTGAGGGTTGGGACTCACAGTTTGGGGCTTAAAGTTAGTAACATGCTGTTATTCAGGGGTATACAAGATCCTCTCCAATTGCAGCAGAAAAGTGGCTTTTTGGGCTTAGGAGAAAATTAAGCTTAAGCATAGGAAACAACAGACACCTGTCGTGCATGTTACTTGGGAAAACAGACAAGCTTTTTCCTAAGGCATGAGATGTAAGATGATTGTGAACTGCTAGAGATTATGTTTTTGATATCAGTTTGCCCAGAACATGTGGTCATCCATGTGCTACTCAGCTTTACAGAAGCAAAATGCAGTTGTGCAATAGATTGTCCAGAAGAGGGGGCTGAAATGTCATTAGATGCAAAAAGAGCTCCTAAACAAGGAAACCGCACTAAAAACAGCAGAAAGATCCCTGGGGAAGCCCAGAGTTCTCTGAGGGTGTGGTCCTGCTTCCTGAGCCTGCAGAGAGCTACATCTGCCCTTCTGTGTGGCCTCTTGTACAGTAAGAAAGTGGGATTCCTCTAAGAATGCTGGGTTGTGAGCTGGACTCCAAAGGAAGAACTCTGAGCCCAGTCTTGGAAGGAGACTTGCTGGGAGCTGAGTAAGTGCAAAGGCAGGGGAACCTGACCTGAAAACAGCACTGGATGCAATCTTGTACAACTTATGTTTAAATGTATTTTCTTTGTAAGTGGGGTTGTATATTCATTGGCACGTTACAACTTTAGAGAAGCTTCATGTCAATTTCTGCTGAAATGTGGGTTCACAGTAGCTTATAACATTGTAACTATGCATTTTTATGCTCCTTTCTAAAATAGTAAGATTTTTGTTTTTAAAATCTTTGAATTATCAGTTTGGCTAAGTGATTTTATGGTAAGCTATGATCCTGTTTCACAAAAAGGGTTTTATGACAGACAATTCATGACTTTTTAAGTTTTCATTAA